GTCGACGTCGGTCGGCTCCGGGTTTGCTGTCGCCTCGGTCGGGTGGGGCGATGGAGACGACCTCGGGCGAGGGGCGCCCTGTCGTGGGCGTCCTCGGGGCGAGGGCAGCGGGAAAGGCATGCCGATGCCGATGCCCTCTCACTCTTCTTCGCCCTCTTGGGCGGCCCTCGTCGCCACGCCCGAGCTCGTCTCGGAGCCCTGATCGGGACGCCCCCTCTGGAGAGGTCCAGGGAGTTGCCCAGGGGCAACGTTAGGGGGGATAGGCTCAGGGGGGAAGCGTCGACTCCCAATCGCCCACTGATCGTCGCGACAGGTGCCCGATAGCCCTTCTCACCCATGAGCGTGTGGTTTCGCTAGTGAGAGCCTATTGCCGATCCAGCGGCGACGTATCGCCGATTCCAGGTCGATGTTTCCTCCCTGAGCTGGTCCCCCTTCAATGATCCTCATCCGCTGGTCTCTGGGTCAAAACTCGGATCTCGAGCGGCCGTTCGGTCCGCAGCAACTTTGGCTCAAGACGGCGCCAGCCCAAGTTTCCCTGGTGTCTCAACGGAGTCGTAGTATTTTGCGCCGCCATGGGCTGCCAACCATCAAGGATATGCAAGAGGGCGGACGCTGCCCCCCCACATAGTTTTGTTGAAGCAGCGGTCCAGAGGGCTGAAGATAGGTGTGGGAAAGTTGTCATCCACTCGCGTTACCACTGCCTTCCAAGGTGCAAAGAGGATGACTATGACTGTTCGCCCCAAGTTCTCGGCACCGGCATGAACGGCAGCGTTTTTGGGGCAACGTGCAAACGCACGGGGCGGCCCGTTGCTGTCAAGAGTTTCCAGCTGCGGAGAATGAAGAGCAGGCAGGTGTCGCAGTTAGAGTGCGAGATTGAGATCTTCCTCAGCATGAATCACCCGCATGTTGCCGACCTGATCGACGTGTACAGGGGCCAGCAGCAGCTGGACTTGGTGATGGAGTGCCTCTCTGGGGGAGAGGTTCTTGACAGGGTGCTCGAGGAGGAGTTCTTCGGCGAGGGCGTCACGGCGAGCACGTTGCGACAGATGCTTTTAGCTGTGAACTATTTACACGCTCACAACATAGTTCATCGCGACCTGAAGCTAGAAAATTTCTTGTATGAAAAGCGAGGCGGCGATCATTTGAAGCTCATAGACTTTGGATTTAGCCGAATCTGGGTGGCGGACCAGTCTACCATGGGAATAGCCTTGGGCTCTTTACATTACGTGGCGCCAGAGGTGCTCGACAAAAAGTACGGAGCAACCTGCGACCTGTGGTCCATGGGAGTCATTGCGTTCGTGCTTCTCACAGGATGTTTCCCCTTTTGTGGCACCACCAGATCACAGACGATCAAGCGCATCCGCGCTGGCGACCGGGACGAGCTGCCATTTGGGAAAGTGTCTACGACAGCTGAGGATTTCGTGGATAAGCTTTTGGTGGTTGACCCTGCGACCCGGCTCACTGCAGAGACAGCGTTGAGGCATCCGTTCATCGAAGGCACTTTTGAGACAGTGAAGGCTACTCGAAGCCGGAGCCTCGGCGATGTGCAAGTGTGTCGGGGGGTGTCGAAAGCCCTAACCGATTTTGCCCACGCGTCCCACTTCCGGCGCGTCTGCATGTCCTTTATGGCTTGGTCTTTGACTAGCGAGGAGCAGGCCAACGTGCGTGACGAGTTCATGGCCATCGACGAGAGCAGGCAGGGGACCCTCACGCTGGAGGAGATGATGAAGGCGCTGAAGAAGTCTGGCGTCGAGGAGGATCAGGCGAGGGCCTGCTTTCATGCGTTGGACGTGGACAAGACGGGCCTCATCAAGTATTCCGAGTTTCTCGCCGCCATGGTGTCCACTCGCATCGCGATGCACGATGAGCTGATCAGGCGGACGTTCTGCCGTTTCGACAAAGGCGACACGGGCTCTATCACGCTCGAGGACCTCAGGAAGGTGCTTGGGGAGTCCTTCGAGGGCACCGAGGTCGAGGAGCTGCTAAAGGAGGCGGACTTCAAGAACGACGGCCAGATTTCGCTCGAAGAGTTCACGCAGTTCCTGGTGGGGGACGTCGAGCTCTCCGCGGAACTGCCCGTTGCCGCAGTTGGCGGGCGCCACCATGCTCGTGCTTCGGTAAAGGTTCTCGATGATCAGGCCAGGGAGCTGCGCAAGGAGTTTGTCACGACAACACCGCCGCCCTCGAGGAAGGGGACAGATTTGTCCACCGGTGTTCTGCGGTCGAACTCCGATGAGGGCCCTCTCTGCGCCCACGGTGCCGTCCCGCAGCCCGAGGTGGAGGCGCCAAGAGAGCGGAGAAGTGTTGGCTGTGAAGGGTGCTGCGCCTCAGGACTGCTGCGTGTCCGTAGTGGCCTGAAAAGGCGATTCGTCCATTTGAAAGAGCGTGTTCTACCGCTGCTGGCAGAAAGCCGGGGGGGGTCACTACCGGTTCGAACCCCTCCCCCCCCCCCGGAAAACCGGGGGGGGGTCACTACCGGTTCGAACCCCTCCATCCCCCCACCAGTTCATCATGAAAAGGGGGGGGGGTCACTACCAGTTCGAACCCCCCCCCCCTCGAACTCGAAAACCGGGGGGGTTCACTACCGGTTCGAACCCCCCTCCCCCCCCTCGAAAACCGAGGGGGGGTGCGGACAGTGGTGGGGACGGTGGTGGTGGGGACAGTGGTGAGGGGACAGCGGGACAGTGGTGGTGACAGTGGGACAGTGGTGGGGACGGTAGTGGTGGGGACAATGGTGAGGACAATGGTGGGAACAGTGGGGACAGTGGGACAGTGGTGGGGACGGTGGTGGTGGGGACAGTGGTGTGGGGACAGTGGGAATGTGGTGGAAACAGTAGGACAGTGGAGGGTACAGTGACAGTGGTGGTGGGGACAGTGGTGAAGGGGGTGGCGAGGACTTCGGTGGGACAATGGGACACAGGTGCAGTGGGGACAGTGGTGGGGACAGTGGGGACAGTGGTGGGATCAGTGGGACAGCTAAGTGGGACAGCGGAGGAGTCAGTGGGACAGTGGGGACAGTGGGGACAGTCGTGGAGAAAGTTGGGAGAGTGGAGCCGTGGTGGGAACAGTGGTGGGGACAGTGGGGACAGTGCGACAGTGGTGGTGGCACTGGTGGGACAGTAGGGGCGGGTGTGGAACCAGTGGGGACAGTGGTGGTGAGGACAGTGGTGCTGGGAACAACAGTGGGGGATGTGGTGAGGACGGTGGTAGGGACCGGGAGTCGTTTGCTGGCGGTGAGAGGGGGGGTAGGGAGGGGTTCGAACAGGTCGTGACCCCCCCCCCCCTCGGTTTTCGAGGGGGGGGAGGGGGGGGGGGGGGGGTTCGAACCAGTGTGACCCCCCCCCGGTTTTTGAAGGGCAGGGGGGGGGGGAGGGGTTAGAGGAGGGGGGGGGTTTTGCCGGGGGAGGGGGGGGGTCCAGCCGGGGGGGGGGGGGTCTTTTCGGAGGGGGGGGGGAGACCCCCGGGCTCCGGAGGAAAAGGGCGGCAATTTTCCACAGTAGAGCGGCGGTGGATCACGCTCTCTCGTCCATTTATTTGAACTGCGGAGGGCGTGCTTCTGAACGCCTGAGGGCGCACTCCACTCCGATCTCCTGTCGATGCTCCCCCCCGCGAGTTGAGCCTGCTTCTCACCGACACGTCGAGGCAGGATCTCCAGCGGCCGTGCGGGACGAATCAGGCCCCCCCCCCCTTGAAGGCTCTCGGCGAGGCGCAGCCGTTGGAAGGCACCCGGAGGCTAAAAAAACCGCCGGGAAGACGAAAGCGTCTGAAATCTTCGAATCTCGAAGGCCGCATTTGTTCGTCGTCCTACCTCCCCCAGAGACTGTTCTTGTATATGCTCCGTGGATAACACGTGTTAGTCCTCCCCCAGTCTCTCCTCCCCATAACGGTATATCCTGGGCGCCGGCCATAGTCGTGATTTGTCACATTTTCCATAGGACCTTCTAGGCATCCTCATGAGGGGGATGATGATGATGATGATGATGAGGAGGAGCAGGAGTGGGAGGAGGGGGAGGAGGAGGGGGAGGGGGGGGGGGAGGAGGAGGAGGAGGAGGAGGAGGAGGAGGAGGAGGAGGAGGAGGAGGAGGAGGTGAGGAATAGGAGGACGACGACGACCGACGTGGCCCGGAGCCTCCCGAAGGTTCACAGGTATTGTCGTCGACGTCGCCGTCGCCGTCGCCGTCGCCGTCGTCGTCGTCGTCGTCGTCGTCGTCGTCGTCGTCGTAGCTTTCTTCCCGTCGTCCTCGTCTTCTTCATTGTATTGCAAGGTGTTTCACGCACGTTCTGTGGTCTCGACAGGCGCTGTGCTGTGGTGTGCACACGCGCGCTTTGGTGCACGCAGGCACTGTGGTATACGGCCACGGTGTGGTGCGCACGTCTGCTGTCATGTGCGCAGGCGCCGTTGTACAAACCATCCAGTGCACGCAGATATTGTGGTGTTTAATGGCGCTGTTGCGCACGCGGTTGCTGAGGTGTACAGGCGCTATGGTGTGCACAGGCGATGTGGCGCTATGGTGCGCGCATGTGCTAGGGTGACCGTAGGCACTGTGGTGTACACAGGTGCCGCGGTGCACGCAGGCGTTGTCGTAAACACAGCTATGTTGCGCAGGTGTTGCGGAGGCGCCTTCGGCTATGCACGCTGGCCGCCATTACCCTTACCCTCCCCGCCGACCCCTCCCAGTAACACGTGTCACGCTAAATTGATAAAATAATGATCTCTTATCATTACCGTTCGGTAGCCGTATCGATCTTGATGATCCCCTTGTGCGAGGATTGGCACTACCAACACCTATTCCTTCTGAGTGTGCGTCGCTCCCCCACCAGATGCGACGCGCGAGCTCAGAAATCGTATCGTACATGTTCGGTGGAGGGGGGCCCTTCTGGCACAACCGCCCGGGTAACGGTATACAGTGAGATGATTTTTCTACATGCTCGGATCTGACGTGCGCCTCCACTAGCATGTCCTTCAGCGGCCCAGAGGAGGACGCGGGCCCGCGCCGCAGGTGGAGCGGTTCCCGGCCCAGGGGGGCAAGGAGTGCCCGCATTCCCTCATCGAGACGAGGGGGTGCCGCGCGCCTGGGCACCGGGTGCCTTGAGACAGGGAAGGTATTCGCCGCCGAACGCTTTCAGGTGGCCGAAGTGCAGTCGAATAAGAATAATAATGATAACAAGGATTATAAGAATGATAACAATACTAAGACTACTAGAACTACCATTAATATTAACAACAATACTAATACCATTACTCAGACTACTATTAAGACTTAACACAAAAAAGCGACGGCGTAAGCATAAACATGTTAGCCAGCGTTACGGCAGTGTGGGTGTGTAAGCCGTGTCGTGCAGGCTACTAAGCTGCGTGGTGCAGCATACAGCGCGCAAGCTAGAGGCAGCCACAAGGTGGCCACGAGGCGCCCACGGGCGGCACCGGGCGACACCTCTGCGGACCCACCCGGCGCACGAGGCGGCCACGGGCGGCACCGTGGAACGTCCTCGCTGGACTCATCCGTTGCTGGAGTAACGTAAGTCGCAAGCCCGAAGTGCAAGCGCTGTTTGGAAGATAAACTTTCGGAGGTTCGCGCGGATTTCTGGGATCTGCGCCGGACCCTGCTCCGCGCGCCGGGCAGGAGGACCCAGCGCAGATCCGAGAGGTCCGCGCGGAGTTTCGGAATTTCAGTTTATGTTTACGCAGTTGAAACGGACGCTGCACCTCAGCACAACCGCCCTGGATAAGTACATCGTGACGATGAATATTCAGGCCCCCCAAGTGCGGTCCGATTTGGATAGATTTGCAGCCTCCCGATTGGTATCCACTGCCCCTCTGTTATGAGGCCGTTGTATAGGAGAGGGAACAGAGGACAGAGTGTTTACACAGTTTTGAGGAATTCGTGAATTCAGCATGGGTCCGGCTTGAAGTGCCTCGAAGAAAGCGCGCGCACCCGAATCGCAGACAGATGGCTATATGCGGACCCGGGACACTTTGCTTCCCGTCGTCGTCCTCGCCCTTGCTCCGTTCCGCTTCCTTTCTTCCCTCCCATTGATGGTGTCGAAAGCGTCCGCGGCTCGGGCGGGGGAGCGCCCCTTCCCACCTCCCTTATTATTCCTCGTTCCTCTTTGCCTCCCTGCTCCGCCGTCCGTCGTCCTACCTCGTCCACCCTCCTTGTTCGAAAAGTGAAGTCCCTGGTGCCGCGTGCCCGCGTCAGCGGTAAATGCTTCTTCGATACCTGAGCACAGCGGCGCAACCAAACAGAGGGGATTGCCAATGCGAGAGTTCGGGGCGCACCCAAAATGCGGGCGGCACGGCCGCCGAGCACAATCGCATCGCTAACATGTAAATTATAGGTGCCTGCGGCAAGGTCCGCCCCCCTGCCGGAGCAGTGGTCTATATGGCGGCGCGTGGAGCTTTGACGTGTAAGAGGTCCATGACATGTGACATCTCTCTTGTTTTCGGATTGCTGCGCGGCATTATTTGGTGTCCTTCGAGGCCTTTTGGGGCGTCTTCGGGCCGTTGGGGGCCGCTTCGGCGCCGCGTTACACCGCGGCCGCCCTGGGCCAGGGAAGCGTGTATTTGCGGTTCTCTCGGGGGCGCCCTGGGCCGGGGAAGTGTGTATTTGCATTCCCCCCAGCTGGGCATGTCAACTTCGGTTCTGGACTGGCAAAGTCGGGGCGCCCTCGAGGTGGCGAGCGTTTACCTTTTCGAAATACACAGATCAACGTGTGATCTGTGTACACAGTTTGTGTCTTCAACTGTGTATTTTCGTGTGTGGGCCCGCTGTTTACACAGATCGTGGTGTGATCTGTGTACACAGATCTCGTTCCCATCTGTGTATTTGGAGTGTGTCCCTCGCGGGTGGTGTTGAATGGGCGGAAACTTTCGCGTTTCTCTTCCGGCTGGTCCAGGGGGGCGTCGTGCGCGGTCGAAATGCACAGTTCGTGTCTCCAACTGTGAATTTGTTGCGGGCCGTTCGCTGGAGTGGTCTGTGGGCGGGAGTTTCCGCGGGTCTCCCGGCTGGTCCAGGAGGGGGCCGTGGTCTGGGCATGCAAAGGCGCGGGGGGGTGGGGAGGGTGGGCTGTGGGAAGGAAGGGGTTCGATAGGAGGGGTGGCCGAGGGGCCAAGGATGAACGGGACTGGACGAGAGCGGAGGAAATGAGCCCAGGAGGATTTGCATCATCGGTGTCAGCATCACGAGGGCAAGGGAAGTGGGGTGGGGGGCAGAAGTTGGGGGCATGATGTGCACTAGGGCGTAGAGGATGGGAGGAGGGCAGGCATGTGGACGATGGGGGAACGAATCCGGCGCAGGAGGACGACGAGGAACGACGTGAATTGGCACATGGGGGGGAGCAGTGTGGATGAAGGGCATGATGAGGACCGGGGCAATCGGAGGGGCATGAGGAGGGTGGGGCCGCAGCGAAGGGATATTTGGAAGAGGCGGGGGGTGGGGCATGAGGTCGAGGCGGGCGCCAGCTAACGATTCGCTGAACAGTGTTTTGCTTGTCCGTGCACCCCCAGAACACAGTGACTGGTTGCATAACTTCATGATAAGGGTAATCGTGCGCTTCGTGCTTCCAGGCCACAGGCTCGAGTCCGCGACGCCCGTTGGCGTCGCGATGATGCCGCCCCGATTTGCCAGACCGCATATGCACAGATACGCAGAATATGTGTTGCAACGTTTGTTTCATGACCCTCTCTATACTAACAGACCCACGTTGGAATCCAACCTCCCGAGAGACATGTTGGACGGGCCGATATCGTTTCGGCTCGAGCGCTTTGGAGAGAATAGTTATCCATGGCAGCGTGAGCGGATGCGCCCCCAGCGCCGAGAGCGGCAGCCTGCGATAGAGCCGCAGCGGGCCAGGCCCGCGGAGGGCTCCGAGGCGCAGACCAGAGCACAGGCGCTGGAGGCGACCAGCCTCGTGTATCCAGACGAGGGCGAGAACGATTTTGATGTGCTGTTGGAAAAGGACACGACCCAGGTGTTGGTCTCACTGGCAGCGCGGCTGGTGAGGCTGGCCTTCAAGAGGCGCTGATGGGCGCACCTCGGACAGCATCTGTGTACGATCAAAAGACAGGGTCAAGATGGCAGCTACGGTCCAGGACGTCCAGGCGCTTCGACAGGCTCTCGAGCAATTGCAGGGAGAGCTACGGCAAGCACGAGCGGACGCGGACGCCGCGAGTAGAGCGGCGCAGGAGGCTGCGCAGCGTACGCAGCAGGTGCTCGGGCAGCAGGGTGCAGCCGCAGCGGCGGCGCAAGTGCCAGACCCTGGACCTGAGAGGATGGCCGCGGAGATGAAGATGATAGGCAAACCAGAGATGTTCGATGGGGCCAAGCCGCCATGGAGAGACTACTCGGTGGTGTTCGAGGCGTTCGCAGGTGCGACGAACCCGAACATGGCGGCGGCGATGGCCAGAGCGAAGCGAGAGGCAGAGCCAGTGCTGATGACGAACCTCGAGCCCGGAGACATGCAGTTGTCCAGGACGTTCAGGTACTGGCTCATCCAGACGTGCAGGAGCCAGGCGCTCGACGTAGTGCTGAATGCGGGCAAGCTCGAAGGATTCGAAGCCTGGCGACAACTACACCTACCATTCGAGCCTCAGGCGGCGAGCAAGTACGCCGGGCAGCTGATGACGCTGCTGGCCTGGGATTTCAGTGGTGAGATTATGATGCGCCTGGAAGCCTTCAAGAGGGAGATCAGCCTGTACGAGTCGGCGTCGGAGGAGACCCTCTCGGACGCGATCAAGGTTGGCATCGTGCTGAGGCAGTTGCCCGAGTCCCCGCTGAGGCAGCACATGATCATGAATGCGGAGAGACTCAAGGAGTGGCCCAAGTTCAGGGAAGAGATCCTGAATGTTCGACGAGCCCAGGCCGCAGCGGCGGCAGCGCAGAACGGAGTGGCCCCGATGGATCTCTCAGCGTTCAACAACCAGGGTGGCAAGGGGCGCTGCAGGATCTGCAACGTCAAGGGCCACGACGAGAGGAACTGCTGGCACCGCAAGGGCGGAGCTGGAGCAGGCAAAGGCAAGTTGGACAGCAAGGGCAAGTCGAGAGGCGACTCCAAGTCGAAGGGTTCTTCGAAGGGCGGAAAGGCAAAGGGCGGCAAGACCGGCAAGGGGCCGAAGTGATTCCACTGCCAGGATCACGGGCACATGTCCAAGGACTGCCCGAAGAAGAAGAACAACCTGCACATGATGGAGCCGGAGCCCGAGAAGGCGCTGCGCGGGCTGTGGCTCGCGCCGTTCACGATCGACGAGAAGGGCGTGGCGCAGAAGGCCTTCGACCTGCTGATCGAGGGCGGCCTGGTGGGCGACAAGCTGGTGCACGAGCTGAGCAGGCTCGGGGCGGACGCGGCGCGGGCATCCCACAAGATGGTGCTCGGTGTCGATTCGTGTGCAGCTACGACGGTCGTGCCATCAGAGCTAGCGCCGGACTACCCGACGTACGAGAATGACATGAGTGCGAAGGGTGAAGGCTACAGGACCGCGAACGGCGGCTGGGTGGCCGACGGGGGCACTCAGGAGCTCATCGGGTCGGTGCGCAACTCGGGCGGCCCGGCGCAGGTGAGAGGCATCAAGGCTAGGGTCGCGAAGGTCAGCAAGGCACTCGCCTCTGTCTCGGAGATGGTCGACGCTGGCCATCGGGTCGTCTTTGATGCTGGCGGCAGCTACGCGCAGAACAAGTCGACAGGGGTGATTACACCGCTCCAGAGGCGCAACAACGTGTGCGAGATGGAGATGGAGCTGATGCCGTACAGCAAGGCGAAGGACGCGATCGGCCGCGCGGAGGCCTGGTCCAAGCCCAGCGCGAGCGGCAAGAAGCAGAAGGAGATCTGCGTGGTGAGGAGCGACGACGCAGGTGACGGAGCTGGATCGAGTCAGGCAGCTGCGGCGGCAGCAGCAGCATAACCAGTCCAATAACCTGTTCAACCAGAAGCGGTGCCTCCACCACCAGCCCCGGTGGTTGCTCGGGGGCGGCCGGCAGTGAGAGCGGAGCGGAGACCGCGCGAGCCGACCCAGCAGGAGCGAGAGGACCATGAAGTGTCGCACACGCCGCATCGAGCTTGGTGCAGGCACTGCGTTGCAGGACGCGGGCGAGCTGAACCTCATGTGACGAGGGGCCACGCGGAGGATGCGATGCCAGTCGTGGCGTTTGACTACGGCCACCTCGGCAGCGGCGAGGACGCGGCCCCGATTCTGTTCATGAGGGACTCGCTGCACAGGTACACGGGCGCGGAGGTGTTGACCTGCAAGGGGGCGGCGCACGCGCGCAGCGCCGACATGCCGGCGAAGTTCGCGGTCAACGGCGGCTACAAGAAGGCGGTCTTCAGGTGCGACAACGAGCCGAGCATCATCGCCCTGAGGGACGTGCTGTCAAGAAGCTCAAGAAGGACCACAGCGCGGAGTGCTTGCTGGAGACTTCGGCAGTTGGAGAGTCGCAGTCGAACGGTCTAGCTGAGGGAGCTGTCAGGGATATGAAGGGCCTGACGAGGACCCTCATGCACGCGGTGGAGGAGATGCACGGAGTCACGAACGGCCCGAACCATCCGTGCCTGCCGTGGATGGTGAGGCACGGCGCAGCAGTCCACAATCGAGGTCAAGCGGACTCGGGCGGGCGCGCGCCGTGCGAGTTAAGGAAGGGGCGCGCTTACAAGAGGGCGCTCCCGGCGTTCGGCGAGAAGGCGTTCTACCTGCCAGTCGGCAAGAGGGAGTCGAGGCTGGTGGACAGGTGGCTGGAAGACGTCTTCTACGGGATCCGCGACGACAGCGACGAGGTGTACGTGGCGACGCCGAAGGGCGTGATGAGAGCCAGGAGCGTCAAGAGGATGCCATTGGCAGCGAGGAGCGACAGGGCTCTTTTCTCAGAGCTGCAGGGCGCGCCGTGGCGACCAGTTCTTGGTCGAGAAGGTGAAGGACTTGAAGTGCCACCCGCTATGGCGAAGGTGGTGGCGGATCAGGTGGTGCCAGACGTGGATCTGCCCCCTGTTCCAGGACCTGTGGGTCCTCCTGCTCCGAGGAGGGTCTACATCAGGAAGGACGTGGAGCTGCGGCGCTACGGCTACGCCCCAGGTTGCAGGGGCTGCGCAGCAGCTCGGGGCAATCAGCGCGCGATCATGCACAGCGAGGAATGCCGAGCGAGGATCGAGAAAGCGATGGAGGACGACCAGACGTTCGGCGGTGGAGTTCGGGTGGCAGAGGCTCGCCTACGGCGAGTAGCTGGTGAGCGACCCGAGAGAAGTGAAGACGAAGAACCTGGGGCCAAGCGAGGGCGAGTCGGTGATCGTGGGCCAGTCGATGAACCAGGGGCGCCAAGCTCATCTGGGACTGCGTCGGGGAGCTCTCCGGCGGCGGCGGGCGTGGCCATGGGCGACGCGGCGGAGATCGGCGCGCTGCTGGAACAGCTCGGTCTCGACAGCTTGGATTTGCAGGAGGTGTTCAACCCAGGGGAGTTCGCCAAGGGAGCTCCAAAGTAAAATCTGAAGCCAGGAGTGGCGATGGACCTCAGGACGGGCTGGGACTTCCGGCTCGAGGAGCAGAGGAAGCGAGCGAGAGCGGAGAGTGAGGAGGTAGATCCTGCCTTCCTCATCATGTCTCCTGTATGCACCCCGTTCTCACAGCTGATGGAGCTGCTGAAGGCGAGCGGCAAGCGCGATGAGGTCAAGTTTCAGAGGCTGCTCGCGGAGTGCAAGGTCTTCCTGGGCTTCTGTATGGAGCTGGCGGCCTGCCAGCATTCGAGGGGGAAGTGGTTCCTGTTCGAGCACCCTTAGACGGCGTCAAGCTGGAAAGAGGAGTGCATCAAGAGCATCAGGGAGCTGCCCGGCGTCATAGTGGTCAAGGGCAGCCAGTGCGTGTTCGGAGCCAAGTCGTACTGGCCGGACGGCTCGGAGGGCCTCGTGGCGAAGCCGACGGGCTGGATGACGAATAGCCGCGAGGTGGCGAAGCAGGTGGGGGTCGTGTGTGACGGCTCCCACGAGCATGTGCACCTCCTGGAGAGGAGGGCGAAGGCGGCTGAGAGGTACCCCTTAGGGCTGGTGAAGGCAATCCTGAAGGGCATCAGGAACGAGCTCAAGATCGGTAGAGGGATCCATGCGTTCGAAGTTGGTCAGACCGCGGAGGAGCCGGAGATCCTGGACCAGGCGACCGAGGAGGAGATGGCGACCTTCTACGACGGGATCAGCGGTGCGGTGCTGGACCCGGTAGACGTCAAGAACGCGCGCATGGGCGAGATGGGCTACATGAGCAGGCTCGGAGTGTTTGAGAGGAGAAAGATTCCCGAGGCGTTGCAAGTGACGGGAACCAAGCCGCTTCCAAGCGGCTGGGTCGACACCAACAAGGGCGACGATCAGAAACCAGAACAACGGAGTCGGTTGGTGGCGAAAGAGGCGCGGGAGCTGAGCACCCTTGGGCCTGAGGACGCTGCGGCGACCTTCGCGGCGACCCCGCCGCTGGAGGGCCTGAGGATGATTCTGTCTATGGCGATGACAGGGCGGCATGAAGATCGAGTGCTGACCTTCATCGATATCACAAGAGCGCATCTACGCTCGGAGCTGCAGAGGCCTGTGTACTTGAAGGCGCCAGCGGAGGATCTAGAGTGCAAGGATGACGAGTGCTGGCTGCTGCTGAAGGCCATGTATGGGCTGAGAGATGCCGGCTCATCATTCGACCTGAAGGCGGAGGACATCATGGTGAGGATCCTGAAGTCGAAGCAGGGCGAGTTCTCGCCTTGCATCTACCAGGTTGGCAAGCTGGTCGTTTGGGGGCACGGCGACGATTTCGTGGCACTCGGCGGGCGAAAGGATTTAAAGGCTTTCGCGGAGAACCTCGGCGAGCACCTGATCGTGAAGGTACGAGGGGTTCTGGGGCCTGACCCGCAGAGCGGCGACATCGACGAGATCGCGGTGCTGAATCGCATCGCGAGGTGGGCCAGGCCGAACGGCAACGACGCGGAGAAGATCGAATACGAGGCGAACCCGAGGCACGTGGAGATCATCCTGGCCCAGCTGGGCCTGCATGGTAAAGAGAGCAAGCCAGTGGTCACGCCGGGGATCAAGAGGCAGGAGCTGGATGGAGAAGCGCTACAAGGACGTGAGCGGGTCATCTACCGCTCAGTGTGTATGCGTATCCAATACCTGGCGCAGGATCGACCTGATCTGCAGTACGCGGCGAAGGAATCAGCACGAGTGATGCAGGATCCGACGATTTGCGGATGGCAGGCCATGAAACGGACCGGTCGGTACCTCGTAGGTACCCCGAGGCTGGTGGTTGAGTATACACGGCAGGCAGATCGGCAAGTTGCTCAAGTCTATACGGACAGTGACTTCGCAGGCTGCCTGAGAACACGTAAGTCTACTTCATCGTGTGCGGTGATGATTGGGAAGCATTGGATTAGAAGCAGCTCGACAACCCAAGGGTTCAATGCTCTATCTACTGGAGAAGCGGAGTTCCACGCGCTGGTGAAGGGCGGCAGTATCGGGCTCGGCCTCAAGACTCTCGCAAAGGACATGGGTGTAGACCTCGAGATCGTGCTGAAGTGCAACGCCACGGCGGGCAAGGGCATCGCCGAACGTCGTGGAGCCGGACGAGTTCGACACCTTCATACACCTCTGCTGTTGCTGCAGAGGGCTGTGCAGCAGAAGAAGCTGCGCGTCAACAAGATCGCAGGTCTCGAGAACATCAGTGACATCGGTACGAAGCACCTGGACGGGCCCCTGCTTAATAAGTTCCTGGCGATGATGGGGTTCGTGGCGAGAGCAGGTCGGAGCCGACTGGCCCTGCGGGCAGCGCCGGATGGAAGAGTGATGATTGAGACATCCTTCAGAGCGCTTGAGCTGGCGGCGGCGTTTGGCCGCGCGCTTTTGATTCTAAGGAGTGATGGATCGCCACGCTCCGCTGACTTTGCGCCGGCCGTAAGAGTCGGCGGCCTCCCACGCGGAAGGAGCGCGGAAGGCCGGGAGGGCTGGGTAGATTTGCAGCCTCCCGAGAGACATGTTGGACGGGTCGATATCGTTTCGGCTCGAGCGCTTTGGAGAGAATAATTATCCACGATTGGATAGGGTTGGAAGATCGCGCTGCATCGCTGATGCATCGGCGATGCGGCTCGATATGGAGAACGATTTTCTCCATGCCGACGGAGCGGATGCATCGCCGGCGTCATCGACGCATTGGCGATGCGCAGCGGTCCTTCGACCCAACGTATTCGGACCCCATTTGGGAGACTTCTAAAGCGCCGATTCGACAGTGCGGCAGCCTCCCATCGGGATCCACATGAGCCGACGGCGGCGTCCAGGAAGTGCGCCAGCCACCTGTGCGAAACCACAGGACCCCACCCAGGGACTGGAAGGCGGCGGTGGCCACCTGCAGAAATGTGCAGGGACCGTCAGGGGCAACGGTAGGAGGGAAGAATTCCTGCGGGAATGCGTTGACTCCGAATCGGCCAGTCATCACCGATAGGAGCTCGATGGCCGTCCCCGCTCAAGAACGTGAGGTCTTGCTATCGAGAACCTATCGCCGATCAATCGGCGATGTATCGCCGTTTCCAGGTCGAGGTTTCCCCCCCTGAGGCGGTCCCCCAAACCGAAACCCCTCAGACTGGAAAGTGCCGCAACCGTGTCCAACTTGTTCGGCCACAAGCCAGAACCTCCCAGTGCAAACATTGTTTGGGGAATCGTGATTGCTGCTGCCATTTGTGGCTCCGCCGTTTCCTTTTCACTGAGTCGTAGTCTTTGACAGCCGATAGCCGTGTCCGTACAGTCGGTCGTTCACAGAAGGCCTGCGATTTGTAGCGTTTTCTCTTGGTTCGCAGCGACAAGGGGATTCCATTATTATGGTTTGCGGACTTGCTCGTCGGGGTACGCCAACCGTTCACATACATCGATCCTTGCCAGGCCAGCCCTGGGCTCATGACTGATTTGGCCAGGGCCGGGTTTTGGGGGGTAGTTCGTGCGGCCGCACCCATACCTCCAGCGCCGCGTTTTTCACTGCTCGGCGGCGCGCCCAGTGGGGAAGGCAGAGGGGACGGGCCTTCTCGGAAGGCTCAGGGTGCTTCCGCCCGTCTGAGAAGCTCTCCAAGCCTTCTCCGGAAACGCAGATGCTTTCTCAGACGGCCAGAGGTTTTTTGAGAAGTCCCGCCGCCTTCTGAGAGTGTTTTCTGCTCTTTTCACCTCCCCGGCGCGCCACCGAACTTAGCGAACCCACAGGTTTTTCGATCCCGCAGGGCGCCTTTGGCGTCAAGGACCATTTTCTAATGGGGCGAGGGCCCAGGGAACCGCAACTGCAGGAGAGATGCGGGTCCGAGATTTTCTCGCGATGCTCGGAGGTCGGGGAGTAGGAGAATGAAATGGAGCAGTAGTAGTAGTAGTAGTAGTAGTAGTAGTAGTAGTAGTAGTAGTAGTAGTAGTAGTAGTAGTAGTAGTAGTAGTAGTAGTAGTAGTGGTAGTAATAGTAGTAGTAGTAGTAGTGGTAGTAGTAGTAGTGGTAGTAGTAGTAGTAGTAGTAGTAGTAGTAGTAGTAGTAGTAGTAGTAGTAGTAGTAGTAGTAGTAGTAGTAGTAGTAGTAGTAGTAGTAGTAGGGACCTTGGGCCGTCGGCGGCCCGCCGTCCGCTTTGTCGCCCGCCCGCGACGTGGTTTCCTCGTCCCACTCCCCCCTCTCCTGCCCGTCCAGGGTCCCGAACGGGGGTCAGGCCGTTTTCCGCCAGCATAATGAACGGGTCCCACGCACCTGGAACCGTTGGCTTCGGCCCATAGTCTTCCTGTGCCACCTTTGTCCCGCCCTGGCAGTTGGCCGCCCCATTTTGGTTCGGTGTACAGCCTCCCCCCGTCCCCTCTCATCCCCGTCAGCTGTTTGGCTCGTGAGTACCTGTCTCGCACATTCTCTCGAGCTGCACCTCCCGTGCCATCCACCCGACCAAGTGATGGCGCCCAAGTTCTCGAAGCTTGTGCCGATGCCGTGGCCCGCCAAGACGTGCGCCGCGGGGGAGGCACCAACCTCCAAAACAAGGCCGACGCAGCGCCCTGTTCCGCAGGTAAGTTCGTCGGAGAGCGAAGACGAGGAGTACGACATGGTGTCCGAGGCGGCGGCCTTTCGGACGGCGCCGACGGTGCACGCGGGATCAGCGACCCCCGCTGAGGACGCCGATGGAGGCCGCGGTGCGGGGGCCGCCCCCAGTGCCGCCGCCTCCGATGGCGCCTCGGCGATGCCTGCATCGGCGGTGGTGCCAGTGACGTCAGCCGCCCTGGCAGCGGCAGCCACGCATGCCGACTTCACCGCAGAGCAGCGGCGCGGGCTGGACGCGCTCACCCTCGCGCTCCACAACCTTCAGCTGAGGGGGCATGCTGTGGGTGGCCGTGGCGGCCGTGGGGCGCGCAGCGCGGCCGACGGCGAGCGCGCCGTGGACGACGGGGCCGCCAGCGAGGCCCCGGGTGCTGCGACCGCGGGTGCCCTCGGCGGCCGTGGGGGCAAGCGCCGCCGCCGACGCAGCAACGAAGCCGTCTACGGCCAGGCCCCCCGGTCGAGTTGCGGCGCACCAGCCGCGCTCGAATACATGGAGATGATGACGGAGGAGAACTGCGCTGAGGCGGGCTACGTCCACTGCGTGGGCGCATGTTGGGTCCCGCCGCACCGCCTGGGCTGGTGTCGGAGGTGCACGGCGCTGGGCGACTGGAAGATCATGGCGGTGGAGTGCGTGGACGAGCTCAGCTGCGCGGAGATGCGCCGCTATGCGGAGGCCAAGGAGGACAGCGAGAAATGCCCCGAACTGAGGGGGGGCAAAGAGGGGCAGTACAAGCTGTACATGTGCTCGAACTGCGTGGCGACGACGGAGGGCATCTCCGAGCACGAGGCCGTGACGCGCGCTGCGCGCGCGAACGAGGGCCCAGGCCCCGTCGACCATGCCGCCAAGCGGGTGGCGAAGTTCCGTGCGAGCTTCGACTGCGTCATGGGGGGCATGGGCGTCCTGGCGGGGTTCGCGCTCTCAGAGGAAGGCTTGCTTGCCCCGCGGAGGTCAACGGAAGGCGTGGGGGTGGGCATCGACCCCGAGAGCACAGGCGCCCCCCCAGCCACGGAAGAAGTGGCGAGGGAGGTGGGCCGCCCAATGGCGAGGGAGGCGGGGGTGGTGCCAGGGCCGCCCCGTGCGCCACCCCCGCCCCTCGAGGAAGAACCTCCCAGTGCTGAGGGGGGCGACCCTCAGCCCGACGTGGGCGCGGAGGGCCAGTGGCTCCAGCTGACCGAGGCCCAGACCGTGAAGGAGGTAACGGACGTCGAGCCCTTGCTGCGGCTCGGCCTATCCAAGAAGTCGCTGAAGCGCATGGCGCGGGCCTATGGCGTCTTCAAATTCGAGACCATGCGCGCCCACATGCTGGGCGGCCTGGGGGCCATCCTGGAAAAGAAGGAGGACGTGGTGAGGGGCGCCGAGGCGCAGGGCGGAGCCCAGAAGTGGCTCGACGCGCTGGGCGAGGAGGCGGAGGTGGATGTGGGAAGGCTGAAGAGGGGTGTCCTGGAAGCCTCGGGGATTGCAGATGCCCACCTGGGACACAAACGTGCCTGGAAGGAGGAGTGCCAGGGCAACGCCGCGGCGCAGGAGGCCCACCGCCGCATGGGCGACTACACGGACCAGTTCTACCGTGACAAGGGCTTCACGTTCAACATGTACTACAAGTGCGCGGCCAACAAGACCTGGGATAATCCCAGGGGATGCTGTTCGGTGATCCGCTCGGATCGCTGGTCACAGCTGCGGGAGAGACGGGCCAGCGCTGGTACTGCCACTGCGGGGCGCGCTACTCGGCCTCCTACGGAGTCTGCATCGAGTTCGCAGAGGAGGAGGCGAACCCGCCACGCGCGTACTACATGCACGCGGAGCATCCCGAGGAGGACATCCGCGACCTGAAGGCCCTGCTGCGCTACGACAAGCTCAAGAAGGAGGGGATCACAGTGCTCAACGCGGTGGACCTTCTGCAGCACCTGCCCAAGGTTGAGCCGATGGCGGTCGGCACCGTCTTCAAACGCTATGCCCCGCGCCAGGCACAATGGGGGGGCCACCATGTGCTGATGGAGGGGCTCACCTGGGAGAGCTTGCCCACGTTCGAGTGGGCCGACCTCTGCGCGCAGGTCGCCTGGGGACTGAACGACCCTGAATGGGCGGGGTGCAGCAAGAAGACGCGGAACAAAGCCAAGAGGGAGCGCCTGGAGATGGCGCACAGGGAATTGGCGCACTGCGAGCGCCGCCGCAACCTGAAGGAGGGCAGCCTCTCGGGCGGCGGGGGCGGCGCGGGGGCCGCCCCGCGCGCCGCCCCCGTTCGCAGCGCCAGCGCCCCGCCGGCGAGCGGGGCCCGCGGCAGCGAGGACCCGCCACCACCGCCAGCGGGAGTCCCGCCAGAGGCCGTGGCCATCATGGGCCCCCCGCCGCCGCCGCCGACGGCGCCCCCCCCCTGATGTGCCGCCGCCGCCGACGCACCCGCCGCCGCAGACGGGCGTGCCCCCGCAGCAGGCCCCAGGCGCTGCAGCCCTGAACGTGGCCCTCGGTGAAGACCTTGAGCGCCAGATCTTTGGGCCCTCAGGGCAGGCGGGGGGCAGTGGCGACCTCGGCGGGGAGGCACGGGCGCTGCCGTCACAGGTCTTTGCTGCCATCGCGCAGGGAACGGGCCAGCAGGCCTGAGGGATAATGCCCAGCAGGTTCCAGGGCCTTGGCAGGCCGCGTGAGTCCATGCCAAATCATCTACTGGCTGCTTTCTGTAGTGCGGCGGGCCCATAGCGGCGCCCCCCCCCTCGCGTGGCGGCACCTGTAGCCTTTGCCTAGGCTAGGCGCGAGACTACCTGCGCACCCAGCCACCTCGGCTCGCCAACTGGCTTGCCATCTCGGCCTTCTTACGTCCACTTGCGCTCGTTGGCTTCGCTGGCGGTGCTCGGGCAGCCCCGTGCACTGCAGCGTCGCCGTCGGGCGCCTGGCCATTTTGGCTTGCCATCCTGGCCTCGTCTCGCGCCTTCCTGCGCTTGTAGGCTTGGGTGGCGGTGCTGGGGTCGCCCCGTGTGCTGCTGCGCTGCCGCCTGCGCCTTGCATTTTGATGTAGGGACCAGCTGCCCTCGGCCAGGCGCCAGCTGCTGCGTGCACGTCAGACCCGCCCTTGGCTTGCCATCCAGGCCTTGCCTCGCGTCTTCCCGCGCTAGTCGGCCTGGGTGGCGGTACTGGGGTCGCCCCGTGTGTTGCTGCGCCGTTGCTGGCGCTTCACTCTGGGCTGTTAGCGCAACTGCCCGCGGTGCGAGCGCCTGGCGTTGCAAGCATGTCAGACCCGCCCTTTCACTCAGAAGAGGTGCGAGCTACATGCTGGCAATGAGGCAGCCGCAAGGACGCTCTTCCCTAGGTGGTTGAGCCGTGGTGATGTGGTGCACGAAACCGCCAGTAGTAGTAGTAGTAGTAGTAGTAGTAGTAGTAGTAGTAGTAGTAGTAGTAGTAGTAGTAGTAGTAGTCGTGGTAGTAGTAGTGGTAGTAGTAGTAGTAGTAGTAGTAGTCGTAGTAGTAGTAATAGTAGTAGTAGTAGTAGTAGTAGTAGTAGTAGTAGTAGTAGTAGTAGTAGTAGTAGTAGTAGTAGTAGTAGTAGTAGTAGTAGTAGTCGTAGTAGTAGTAGTAGTAGTAGTAGTAGTAGTAGTAGTAGTAGTAGTAGTAGTAGTAGTAGTAGTAGTAGTAGTAGTAGTAGTAGTGGTGGTGGTAGTAGTAGTAGTAGTAGTAGTAGCAGTAGTAGTAGTAGTAGTAGTAGTAGTAGTAGTAGTAGTAGTAGTAGTAGTCGTAGTTGTCGTAGTTGTCGTAATAGTATTAGCAGTAGTAGTGGTAGCAGCAGGAAGAGTAGTAGTAGGAGGAGGAGGAGTTAGAGTTGCTTGGAGTTTTAGTTGGAGTTGGAGTTGGAGTTGGAGGAGGAGGAGGAGGAACATGAAGGGGAGGTGGGAGGAGGAGGACGAGGAGGAGGAGGAAGAGGAGGAGGCGGAGGAGGAGTGGTAGCAGGAGGAGGAAGAGGAGGAGGAGGAAGAGGAGGTGGATGAGGAAGAGTGCAGTTGGAATTGGAGTTGCAGTTGGAGTTGCAGTTGGAGTTGGACTCGTAGTTTGAGTTTGAGGAGGCAGAGGAGGAGGAGGACGAGGAGGAGGAGGATAATGAGGACAATGAGCAGGACGAAGAGAAGGCGGCGGAGGAGGAGACCAGGGAGGGGACAGATGATGAGGAGGAAAAGGATGACGATGAGGATGAGGATGAGGATGCGGATGATGATGGTGGTGGTGGTGGTAGTGGTGATGATGATGATGATGATGATGGTGGTGGTGGTGGTAGTGGTGGTGGTAGTGGTGAAGATGATGACGATGATGATGATGCTGATTATGATGATGACGATGATGATGACGATGACGATGACGATGATGATGATGCTGATGCTGATGATGATGATGATGGTGATGATGATGATGTTGATGCTGATGCTGCTGATGGTGATGATGAGGAGGAGGAGGAGGAGGAGAAGGGGGAGGATGAGGAGGACGAAGAGAAGGCGTAGGAGACGGAGGAAAAGGAGGAGGAGGACGAGGCGGAGGAGGAGGAGGAGGTGTCGGAGGAGTTGCAGCTGGGGTTGGAGGAGTTGGAGGAGTTGGAGGATGAGCCTCAGAAGCCGCTTGGGCCTCGCCCCGCGGCACCAGGTGCAACAGCCGGGCGTGCGACGAGAAGGACTGCGAGGTCGTCTGACGCGGCTCCAGGAGGAGGACCCAGACCCCATCGCGTTGCAAAACAAGTCTCGGCTGAAGTTTTCGGAGGGCTTTCGTTTTCTCAGGCAGCGGCGCCTCGCCGACGGCGCTCCGGGGGAACCCAGATTGGCACGGACGGCCGCCGAAAATCCGTGTCACGACCCGAAAGCCAGGCCCCCTCGCGTCGTGGAACAAGTCACGACGATTGGCTTTTGGCACCTTTCGGCCTTTGGGGGCCCTTGCCCGCTGCCGGGGCCGTCGAAAAACGGTCGGGTGTTGTTAGAAGTACCCCTGGCCCAAGGTATCCCCAGGATTCTCGGGGTGGCCGAAATGGCCTCCAGGGCACCCTTCATGAGGCCCAGAGGGCCTCCGTGGCTCCAAAATGGAACGAAATGCTGGGGGCACCTTGGGCCAGGGGTACTTCTAGCAACACCCGAAACGGGTCAGGACGAAAAGCTAGTCCTGGGAAATGGATCGAGATTTTTGGGGGTCCGTGCCATGAACAGATTCTTGCGCTGGGGGTCTGGGGAGGCAGGAGCGAGAAGGGAGGGAGGGAGGGAGGGAGCGTGGATGGAGGAGGAGGAGGAAGAGGAGGACGAGGAGGAGGAGGAGGAGGAGGAGGAGGAGGGAGAAGGAGAAGGACTGCGAGAGAAAAAGGAGAAGGGAGGCCTCGAACCTCGATCATCGACCCTCGATCCCCGAATGTGTCGCTCCCCCTCCTCCCCCTTGTTAGGATGCAGCTCCTGGGAGGGTCAATTCAGCATCGGCTGCTCGAAGACATGCCCAATCTGGCACAACCCCGCTTCATTCCGTTTACTCCGGCTCAATCCGGCCTAATTCTGGGCCCCGTCTGGGTCATTCTGGCTTAGTGGCCTTCTAATCGGGCTAGTGGCCCTTCATTGTTCTTACGAAGATCTCCCAGGAGACCGACCGTTTCATTATCCCTTGCGATAGCGGGCATGACCGGGGGGGGGGGAAGGGGGGAGACGGCCCGTCACGTCACGATTCGCGCCGCCGCCGCTGTCTTGGAATGCCTATTTCAGACGGCGCCGGCGCGAATCGTGACGCGACCAGGGGAGGCGCGGGGCCCGTCACGGGCCTTACCGCGAATAGTAACAAGCACGGGCGCCAGGAGTTTCCTCGCGGCCCCGCGTGGCCGCGTTGCCGCCGACTGGCCGGTCGCCGCTGCGGCCCGAGCCAGGTCAGCGATTGGACGGGGTGGAGCAAGTGCTCCGCGGCGTGCGGCGCGGGCCCTGGGGGAGGGGCAGAGAGTGAGCCTGGGAAGGGAGGAGGAGCAGCAGGAGGGGTAATGGGAGAAGGAGGAGGAGGATACGATGATGATGATGATGATGATGATGATGATGATGATGATGATGATGATGATGATGATGATGATGATGATGATGATGATGATGATGATGCTGATGATGCTGATGCTGATGCTGATGCTGATGCTGATGATGATGCTGATGATGATGATGATGATGCTGCTGATCATGATGATGACGATGATGATGGTGGTGATGATTATGACGATGTTGATGATGATTACGATGTTGATGCTGATGCTGATGCTGATGTTGATGCTGATGCTGCTGATGATGATGCTGATGCTGATGATGCTGATGATGACGATGATGATGATGTTGATGATGATGATGGTGATGATGATAATGATGCTGATACTGATGCTGATGCTGATGATGGTGATGATGTTGATGATGCTGATGATGATGATGATGCTGATGCTGCTGATGATGACGTTGATGATGATGATGATGATGAGATGATGATGATGATGATGATGATGATGATGATGATGATGATGATGATGATGATGATGATGATGATGATGATGATGATGATGATGATGATGATGATGATGCTGCTGGTGCTGCTTCTGATGATGATGATGATGATAATTAATGATGATGGTGATGATGATGATGATGATGATGATGATGATGATGATGGATGATGATGATGATGATGATGATGATGATGATGATGATGATGATGATGATGATGATGGTGATGATGGTGGTGGTGGTGGTGGTGGTGGTGGTGGTGGTGGTGGTGATGATGATGATGATGCTGATGATGATGATGCGGAGGAGGAGGAGGAGGACGAGGAGGAGGAGGAGAAGGAGGAGCATGTGAGCATACCATCCTTTGCAGACCGCCTTGAGGAGAAAGGGGAGGGGTAGGAGTGGGGAGCAGGGGGTGGAATAATGAGGAGGAGGAAGAGGAGGGGGAGGAGGAGGAGGAGGAGGAGGAGGAGGAGGAGGAGGAGGAGGAGGAGGAGGAGGAGGAGGAGTTTTTTTTTCCTCCTCGGGCCATTCGCACGCGGCTCTGGCCGATCACCCTCCAGGTGGGGTGGCCTGACGGTGCCTGGGCGTGCCGAGGAGGCGGGGACCCAGGGCAGAGACCGCCAGGCGAGTGGCCCCTCACAAGCCCGCAGCACCTCCGAGATGGCGGTGGGGGCTTGGACTGGGCCTAGTCCGAATCGTCCTCGCCGAAACCCACTGGAGGGATGAGCGGTTCCTCATCCTCCTCTTGGCGCGGGCTGGATTGCGGCTGGCGCAACAGTCTGGCCTCGGGCCGCTGTGGGCGAGGCACAGGGTGTGGGGCTGGCGGGCTCGGGAGCGGCGTAGCAAAACGCGCTGCTGCTCTCTCTCTCTGCGCGCGCTGCTGCCTTTGAATTTCTGCGGTGTTGTACCGCTCGGACTCTGAAGCAAAATGACGAAATCTCGGATGCTTGCCATCCAACAGACGATTTCTCACATTCGCGCGTCCACCACTTTTGGGAGGCTTTCCAGGACATGTGGCGGGCAAACCTCTGAAAGCGTACTGGGCATAACGCCCACAGACTAAGCAGAACACAACAGGCGTGGCAAAGTGCGCAATCGCCGTCGGATGGCTGGCGTGAATGGCTTCTAGGCCACGTCGGTATGCGCTGGCAAGAGGTTGGCAGGCCTGCCTCTCGCGCGCGACTGCGGCCTTATACGATCGGGCGTACGTAAAACATGCTCTGCACCTGTACGGTATCGGCCCCTGCAGAACCTCCCAGTCGTGGACGACGATGGAGGCCTGAACCTTACAGGGCAAAGCGGCTCTCTCGCTCTTGTGCCTGTTGCGCTGGCACAAAGCGAGAACTCTGGGCGCATATAAGGCAATCGCTCGAGCGGCCTCGACCTTGCGTTGCAAATCCTGCACCGCAGTCGGGTCAAAGCTGGGGTGACAGTCGACGGCGGCTTTCGCCGTCTTATCTGCTGCTGCATTGATCTCCGCCGCAAGTCTGGCCTCTCCAGCCAATGATTCTATATCCTGATGGCTCTTGACCTTAGAGGCCGTCTCGAGGTGATATCTGCTATCCCGCGCAAGCGCAAGCTTGTGCAGGCCTGAATACTTGAGCTTACTACTGAGACGCGTCGGCAGTGGCCTAGCATGCTGATCTAGGACCGCTTTGCAGTCCACCCAAGTCTTCGAGGGTTTCGTGAGGGCCTCCTGGAGCACCAGGAAGCCCATGTGCTCCCCAGCCTGGGAAGTCTGGGGAAGGTTCGCAGCAACAGCGCCATAAAAGGAGGCCTCTGGGGCCCCGTCGGTACTGTAAGCCACTACCGAAAACGTCGCTCTGTCTAACTCCGCTATGCCTGTCTTGGTGCACGACCCGTCGGTTCCCGTGAGCCCCCCAAAGTCTGGTACCGTGTCTGGCTGACCGTCGTGTCTAACGAATCGAACGATAGGATCCTCTCTAGGCAGCGGAAAATCATCATGCTGTTCCCTTGGGTGCTCGAAGATACCGAAGCAGTACAGGGGGCTATTCTCTGGCGCCTCCAGCGCAGCCTGCAGCACGTCTGGCGGCAGCAGCTCTGTCCTGAGGGCAACTACCTCTGGATGCTGACAAGTAAAGAGACGGTGGTGTATGGTGTCCCCGAAGGCTTTACAAAGCGGGCACTCATTAGGCACGTCGTAGCCTATCTGAACGAGTTTTTCTTCGGTCCACCATCCCTGGACCACGAGAGTTTGGAGAATGGCTTTAAACGTGGGGGAGAGTTTCTTGCTTTTAGGGGAAAGCAGAGTACGAACAACATCAAAACAAACTCTCTTCATGGGGGCTGGGCTGGGTATGCTCTTAGCAGCTAGTGTTTCCCACCTCCTCTGACATCCTCGGTGCAGCAGGTCGGCAAGCAGGCTCGGCGAGGTGTCAGTGAGCCTGACCGTCCTGCCGAAATGGTCCTGCAGCGTAAAAGCGGACGTGAAACTCCAGCCGATTCGGTGAAGTGCGTGAGCTGCCGCACTGAGTGGTCCTCGCACGGCGTTATAACACAAGTGTCCTATTGGCTGCACGTTGTTATATATCTGCTTGAGTTCAAGAAGGCCGAGGGTCCCTGGGGTCGCGTACTTGCCGAGGGTGGTGTGCCACACTTCATGGGCCCACCTGAGAACGGGCCCTAAGGCCCAACGGTCAGCCCTGGACCCCGTGACGGCGAAGGCCGCACTCCTGGATTTCTTGGAGGAGCAGGGCGTGATTTGCGCAATCTCCAGAGACTGCAGCAGATACAAAGACTTGTTACTGAGACCGTCGACGGCGGCCCCGAAAGCACCGGCAGGGAGGAGACCCGTAGTGACGATCTTGCGACATTTCTGTCCAGCGGTAGCGGTGAGCTTACGCAGGCGTTGCCCCCTGACCGTAGCGGTTCTGAGCCTGACCTTGCGCTTGGCGGCTGCGCCGTTACAACCGAAGGATTTGCCAGCCGTAAAATCGCAACCTAAGTTAGTGGCGACCGCTTGGAGCTTGCCCCCTGTGGTCCCGAGAGCAGACGTGAGCAGCCTGGCTAACGACACCGACGACGCGACGACAGCTCCTTTATGAACAGCTATCCTGGCCTCTAAGTCTATCTCGATGAGACGGGCTAGCTCCTTGGCGGCACTGACTATACGCTTGAGCACTCTGACCGTGGTGCCGTGACAGGTGATGGACAGGTCGTCCAAATAGAAATCGAAATAGACGGCCGAGTGCAGCGATGTTATTCGCAAGAAGGCATCAAAGCAATAGATCCTGACATAGAGGATGCAGAAGGAGGAGGAGGAGGAGGAGGAGGAGGAGGAGGACGAGGAGGAGGAGGAGGAGGACGAGGAGGTGGGGGATATGCCATCGAGGATGATGGGGGAGGAGGAAGTGGGGGAGGATCAGGATTATGATTAGGATTCGGATTATGATGATGATCATGATGATCATGCTGATAGTGATGATGATGCTGATGATGATGAGGCTGATGCTGATGCCCATGTGGCTGCTGTTGATGATGCTGCTGATGATGATGACGATGATGAAGATGATGTGGCTGCTGCAGTTGATGCTCATACTGATGCTATTGCTGTCGTCGTTGATAATGGTGATGATGAAGTTGCTGCTGCTGATAATGGTGCTGATGTTGATGCTGATGTTGATGCTGTTGATGTTGAGGCTGATACTGATGATGACGACGGCGTTGATGGTGGTGATGATGATTATTGTGTGAGCATGATGGTGATGACAATGCTGTTTCTGATGATGATGTTGTGCTGTGGATGATGAAGGTGATGATTACGTTCACGATGATGAGGATGCTGATGCTGATGCTGCTGATGATGATGATGAAGATGATAATGCTGCTCCTGATTGTGACGCTGATGATGCTGATTTGGTTGATGATGATGCTGAGGTTGATGACGACGATGATGATGCTGCTGCTGAGGGTGACGCTGACCATGGTGATCATGCTGATGCTGCTGCTGATGATGATGACGATGCTGCTGCTGACGATGATGATGATGATCATACAGATGCTGATGATGTTGCTGATGATGATGGTGATGATGTTGTTAATGATCCTGTGGATGATGCTGCTGATGATGGGGATTATGATGATGATGATGCTTATGCTGATGCGGATGCTGATGGTGATGCTGATGATGAGGAGGAGTATGAATCTGGTAATGACTATGCTGCTGCTGATGCTGATGACGATGACGATGACGATGACCATAACGATGACGATATGATGATGATGATGCTGATGATGATGATGATGATGCTGATGCTGATGCTGATGCTGATGCTGCTGATGATGATGGTGTTGATGATGATGATGATGATGATGATGATGATGATGCTGATGATGATGATGCTGATGTTGCTGGTTGCTGCCCCCCGCTGCGGCCGATCCGCGGCACCCAGGCTATCATTTTTTTTTGTATGCGTGTGCGTGCGCGTGTGCGTGCGTGTGTGAGCGTGTGCGTGTGCGTGTGCGTACGCGTGTGAGCGTGTGCGTGCGTGCGTGCGTGCGTGCGTGCGTGCGTGCGTGCGTGTGTGTGTGTGTGTGTGTGTGTGTGTGTGTGCGAGTATGTGCGCGTGTGTGAGTGTGTGCGTGTGTGTGCGCGCGCGCGTGTGTGTGTGTGTGTGTGTGTGTGTGTGTGTGTGTGTGTGTGTGTGTGTATGTGTGTGCGCGCGTGTGTGTGTGCGTATGTGTGTGGCGGGGGGGGGGGGTCCACTCCCCGTGCAGGCGGTCATCCGCACGTTCGCTCGAGGCGGGGCCTTCTGGGCCACGATTCGCGTGCCCGGTTGCCCTTGTCCTCCTCGTCCCTTTCTTCTCCCGTCGTCGTCGTCCCCCCCTCTCCCTGCCGCCCCCCCCCTCTGAGGCACGGCCTTTGGTGCACAATCCGCGTGCCTGGTTCCCCTTGTCCTCCTCGTCCCTTTTACCTCCCGTCATCGTCGTCCTCTCCCCTCCTCCCCGCCCCCCCTCCCGAGGCACGGCCTCTGCGTGTGCTGCCTGCCTGGCAGGCATGTTGCCGCGTTGCGGCCCCTCCTTTCTCCCCCCCTGCCTTTGTGCTGTGCCTCCTCCTTCCCTCTCGCCTCCTGCCTCGGCGGGCTCCTGCCCCTCTTCGTGCCTTGCCTCCGTAGACCATCGACCGCATCCTGGTTCGCCAACTTCGAGTACACCTTCGGCTGCTACATACCTAGTATTGCGCTTCTGCAAAGCCTTGCAATCAGGAAGGTCTCGTGATCTTGTCAAGTGTGTGTGTGTGTGTGTGTGTGTGTGGTGTGTCTCCTTCCTTCTCCTCGGCTTCCCTTCCCCCGTCGGTCAGCCCTTGTCTCTCGCGTCCGTCTGTCTCCCACCTCGGCTGTCCGCCGTCGCTCCTGGCTCCGCGCCAATTCCTGTCTCTGCTTGGTCCCCCTTCCTCTTGCCTTGCTGGCCGCTTGTCGTCCCAACTCGGGCCGACCTGGCCGCTGACTTGCCTCCCTCCGCGTGGCCGCGTCTGAGTTCGCGGCGGGCCGCCCGTCCGCCTTGACCGAATCGTCTGCGCGCGTGTAATTATCAGCGTGCGTGTGCGTGTGTTGTTGTTGTTGTTGTTGTTGTTGTTGTTGTTGTTGTTGTTGTTGTTGTTGTTGTTGTTGTTGTTGTTGGTGTTGGTGTTGTTGGTGTTGTTGTTGTTGTTGTTGTTGTTGTTGTTGTTGTTGTTGTTGTTGTTGTGTGTAGGTGTGTGTGTTTGTGTGCGCGTGCGTGTGTGCGTGCGTGTGCATGCGTGTGTGCGTGTTGTGTGCGCGTGCGTGTATATTAAATTCATACGTGTAGTCGTATTCGGCAGAAAAAGACTGTTTGACCTGCGGCGGGTTCCTCCTGATACCCCTGGTGGCGCGATTTTTTCAACGACGTGAGCCCCTGGAGATCCCGCCCCGGGCCCTCGGACCAGCTTCTCGCCGCGGTTCGCTTGGGGGCTGTCTCGGAGCTCCAACCGGTCCTTGGGGACCCCAGTCAGCAAACAACAAAACAAGCGTCGACCGCGATTTGCCCGTGGCGTTTGGAGGCTTGGGTGGATGGCCTCCCGGACCGAGGCCGGTCGGAGGACCGCGCCGCGTCCCCGATTTGCTTCTGTGCGATGTGGAGCCCAGTGTTTCCCATCCCGATCCTCGCCGTTTCCGATGCATCGGCGATGCGTCAGCTATGCAGAGTGGAGGGTTTCTCCGAAGGGCTTAGGCGATCCGTCGTCCTCCTCCTCCTCCTCCTGCTCCCTCCTGCTCCTCTTCCTCCTCCTCCTCATCCTCCTCCTCCTCGTCCTCCTCCTCCTCCTCTTCCTCCTCCTCCTCCTTTTCCTCCGCCTCCTCCTCCCCCTCCTCCTCCTCCTCCTCCTCCTCCTTTTCCTCCTCCTCCTCCTCGTCCTCCTCCTCGTCCTCCTCCTCCTCTCTCCTCTCTCCTCCTCCTCCTCCTCCTCCTCCTCCTCCTCCTCCTCCTCCTCCTCCCTCCTCCTCCTCCTCCCCCCTCCCCTTCCTCCTCCTCCTCCTCCTCCTCCTCCTCCTCCTCCTCCTCCTCCTCCTCCTCCTCTTCGGGTCGCCTGCGGCCCCGTGGGAAACCGTGCAATGCAGAGCGATCTTCGGGTCTGATCGGCGGCGGGGGCGTGGCGGCTCACAGGCCCGCGAGCCGCCCCAGCCCAACCGAGGCGCTGGTTTCCAGAACCGCTCGAGGACGGTCTCGCGCCTCCGGAGCCTCGGAGGCGCCGCCCGACCCACCTTGGCAGGGGCCAGCGGCGGCGTCGGCAGCGGCGACGTTGACGGTGACGGCGGCGGCGGCGGCCGGCGGCGGCAGATATAGTTCGCGAGCGGGGCGTTACGCACTCGACCGGTGACCGCCCGTGGGAGGATGGTGAGGGTGATGATGGCAGTGAGGAGCCGAATGTCACGAGTCCGTGCTCGTGCGAAGGATTCGTGCTCGCGTCGCGTGGTACGATCGAGATGGAGACGGAAAGCGTGGACGCGAGGACGGACTGCATGTCCCGTTCATTTTGAGCAGGATTCGCTGTCGGTGTCGCCGCTGGCGTTGTTCATTTGAGACGGAAGGCCGCCTGCCCAGCAGCGCTTGCTTTCGGTTTTGGACAACATGTGTTGTTGTTGGGCATCGTACCCACTGTTTTCGAACGTACCTAAATCGGGCGTCCAAGGTCGTGCGTACGGCAGGTTCGTCCCATATCGACGCAGCGGCGACCCGCGGGCGTTCAAGGTTGAACGCCGCCAGTGGCCCAGACTCGGCCAAGATGGTACGATCCGGCGATCGAAAAGCCGCCGATCGTTCAAGGTTGAACGATCCACGCGGCGTCGCAAACCAACACGGGGGCTCGTCATGACACGAGCCTGCCGTAGCGCGCTTGCGAAGCGCAGGCAGGTCTTGGACGACGATGGATCGCTCAACGGCGGCCCAGAACGCTCTTAGAACGATCTGGGCCGCTCTGGAACGGCTGCGGCGCCCGACACATCCTTTCGGTTGCAACTCCAAGGAATTTGCATCCCGCATCGGCGCTGGTATATCCGTGGTCGAAGGCCGTCTTCTTCTTTCCTGGTCCAGATTCATCCGGCCAGATCTCGCTATCGTGCTTGATCCTACCATCGTTCAGACCACCAGCCCTGAGATATTCCAGATGTATATCGATCAGAGTGTGTCCCTTCGTCTCGCGTCAGGGCGGACGGCGGGCGAGGGTCTCCCTCCTTGCTGCCACCCGGCCAGCTGGCGGGGGGGCTCCTGGTGTCACGCGTTCCATGGTGTTCCCTCCCCCCATGAGGCGGTCCCCTTTCTCGGTTCTTCAAGAGTGGTGCACATCCTGCAGCGTTAGCCGCAATTCAGGATCGACATTTTGCTCGCTTTGTTCAGATTCGCGCTCTCGCCGCAGCGCGTGCCACACTTTCGGATCCCGTTCGTTCATCGTCGTTGTGGTCGCCCTCCTTTCCCCCTCCGCCTCTCCCTGGCCCTGCTCCTCCCAGCTCCTGCTGGTATTCCTCCTCCTTCTTCGCCATCCTGCTCTACCTCACTCAAGGAAGGAAAAAGCACCAGGACCGGGCAATGGGCGTTTACTAAACAGCCTTGGGCGTTTGCTAAACAGCCCTGCCCTGTTCGATTCCTTCGGTGGGAGCGTTTAGCAAACGGCTTTGCGTGTCGGATCGGTTCTTTTCGGGGTGGATTTTCTGCCCTCGTTCCTCCTTCTTCACCATCCTGCTCTGCCTCATTATCCTGTTCAGCCTCATCCATTCAGGACACCCCGGCCGGCGGACGGAACATACTTCAGCGCAGCGGGAATCCGAGGCGGGAATTTATCCATATCCACCGCCTGGAGGGTCAGTTTTTGGAGCCTCGGCAGGCGGTGGATATGGACATATTCGGGCCCCCTGGGGCCGAAATATGTCCATATCCGCCGCCCGCTGGGGCGCCAGGACGTCGGTTCCCAGGCGGTGGATATGGATAAATCCCCGCCTCGCAGGGAAGGCTGTGGGCGGCAGGGGTCGTGTGCCAGATATGGCGCGAGCGCGCCCAGCTTCCCGATCCTCCCCTCTGTCCTCGGATCCCTCTGCATGTTTCCCTGCCGTGAAGAGTTGCCCTCCGCATCTCCCCGGTTTTTGCCCAGGAGATGTTCGGCCCTCGCCCCCTATGTTGCTTCCAGCAACAGAACTTTAACAGTTTTGTTTTTTTTCTTGTCTTCAAGTAGGGGAAAACACACACAGCCACAATTCATCGTCGATACCCCAGAACATATGGGAAACTATGGGAAGTGGGGGGAAGACAGAAACCCAGAACATATGGGAAAATATAGGGAATCCTGCTATTTGTGTCTATTTATTTGTGTGTCCCAGGGCCCCTTCAACAAGTTCGTCGTGTTTTTTGGTGCAGTCCGATTGTTTTCGGTGTACTGGTGCTCCCGCGGCAGCATGGGCCTCATTCTCGGATCGGCGCTCTGCTCCCGTCGTTACAGCACGGCGCTCTCGCACCAGCGCGGGCCGCTTGTCTCGATCCGAGTATTTTTTTTTTTGATCGTTGTCGTTCCCCTCCTTTTCCCCACTGCCTTCCCCTGGTCCTCCTCCTCCCGCTCCTCTCACTCAAGCTCCTGCTGCTACTGTTCGTCCTCGTCTCCTCCTTCCTCGCCCTCCTCCTGCTCCTCCTGCTCCTCCGCCACCTCCTCCTCCAGTGTGCGCATCTCCCTTCTCTTCGGATTGCGCATAGCACGATAGGGATCCTCTTTGGGAGTTCCAGGTCCGCTGTGGGGCGCATCGGCGGATGGAGAGACAACACGGCGCAATGGGACTGGATGGGTGGGAGGGGTAGGATGTCAGACATGGCGCGAGCGCACCTAGCTTGCGTTTCCCACTTCCCCCCCATCCCCGTCACCCCTCCCTCCCTCTCTCCCTCCCCCCTCTCCCTCCCCCTCTCCCCCCTCCTCTCCCTCGCCCTCCTTTCTCCCTCCCCCTCTCCCCGTCGCCTTCCGCAATTCAGCAATTTGAGTACTACTCTCCCTCCTCCCCTGAAGGTGTACAGAAGATCTCCCGTCCCCTCCGGGTGCCTTGTTTCTACACAGGGTTTCAAACAGTGATTTGATTTATGTTCTTTTGTTTTTTTGTTTTGGGGTATTTTCCCCCCGTTGTTTTCGTTGTTTCAACATGGTGTTCCTGCTGCAGCGTGGGCCTCATTTTCGGATTGGCGCTTTGCTTCCGTTATTCAGATTGGCGCTCTTGCCCTTCATTGCTTCATTGCTCATTTCCTTTCCTCTGCCTTCCCCTGGTCCTCCTGTTACTCCCGCTCCTTCCACTCCAGTTCCTGCTGCTGCTGTTCGTCTCGCCCCAGAGCGGGCCACTTTTGAATCCGAGTCTTTCTCTACGTTGTCGCCACCCTCATTTCCCCTCCTCCGCCTTCCCCTGGTCACCCTTTTCCTCCCGATCCTTCCGCTTTAGTTCCTGCTGCTGCTCTTCGTTCTCGTCCTTTTTCCTCCCGTTACTCACCCGCCACCTCCTCCTCCTGTGCACGCAGCTCTCCTTTTTCCGATTGCGCATAATACGCAGTGGTCTTTCTGTGGGAGTCGCAGGTCGGCTATGACACGCGTCCGCGGATAGAGAAATATCAGCGCCATGGGAAGGGATGGGAGGGAGGGATTGGATGTCAGATGAGGCGCGAGCGCACCTAGCTTGCCGTCACCCCCTCGCCCTTCCCCTCGCCCTCCCCTGGGCTCTCCCGCTCGCCCTCCCCCCTCGCGCCCGGCGGCCGCGGTGTCGCCCCGTGCGCACGCTAGCAGGCGCCGGCTGTGGCGAGGCGCTAGCGGAGTCGCGCGCTTGCGCAGGCCTGCCCAGCTGCGAGGTGAAGGATCGCCGCCGTGGTCGCCGAAGACATCTGCCGCCGCCGCCGCTGCCGCTGCCGTCGCCATCGCTGCCGCCGTCGAGAGTGGGGGGGTTGGCGAGGGGAGGGGGAGGTGGATGGGAGAGGGCGAGGGGGGTCGCGAGGAGGCGAGGGGTAGAAGAGGGGAGGGGGGAGAGGAGGGAGGTTGCCGCTGTCGTTGTTGTCGTTGCTATCGTTGCTGCTGCCGTCGTCGTCTGTGTCGTCATCGTCGTCGTCGTCGTCGTCGTCGTCGTCGTAGTCCCCTTTCCGCTGGTCCTCCCTCTTCCTGCTGTTGCTGCTCCTGGTCGTGCTCCTGGTCCTGCTCGGGCGCTCTCACTATTGTCTCGGGGGATATTGGGACCTCTCCTGGGCCCTTGGCCGCGCGGGGTTTCTTAGTTGCGCCTCGTGGTTTCTGAAGTGTATTGAAGAGGGAACGGGTGGTTGTCAGTCAGAGGGCGTGGAACAAGGGACGTTTTTGTTTGGAGTGTTCTGCCTTCACGGCTGCCTGAGAGAGCCCCATGGAAGCATCTTGCGCCCTTTTGAGAAGGTCTGTCCTTGGGATCTCCATGGGGCCTTCTTGAGGGTTGCTGATGCTTTCTCTCGGACTGTCCTGGGGCGCCTGTTGGAGTCTTGGGGCCGCCCTGAGGGGTCGTTGCCCCGTCGCGGGGCATCGTCAGTCTGGACCTCTCAGATGGGGTCCCAGTAGATGCGATCGGAGGATCGCGCCGCATGGCCAATGCATCGGCGATGTGGCTCGATGTGGAGCCCGATTTTCTCCCCGCCAGCGTCGCCGATGCATTGCCGACGTCGTCGGTGCAGCGCCGGTGCATCGCCGATGTATCGGCGATGTATCGACGATACATCGGCGTTGCGGCGCGATCCTCCGACCCCATCTACTTCGACCTCATCTGGGAGGCCTCTGGTCAAACCGTTTGGGGGTCGCCTGCCGGCTGTATGCAGTTCAGACGCTTGTCCAGCAGGCATGGGATGATGATGAGCCGCTCCAGAGCGTTCTGGAAGGCTCCAGACCCGCCAGTTCTTAGAGATTCCCGATGATCCTCATCCAGATTCATCGTCATCTTGCTTTCGTCTAACTGAGGGGAGCGGAAACCACCAGAAGCCCTGCCGGGCAAGTCACGGGCGCTTCAATTCGTTCCCGAGCGTGCTCGAGGCGCGGTGGTGGAAAGAGTTTGGGCACCCGGCTTGGATCGTGCCAGGTTGGCGTGATCGGCTTCATTGACGCCGTAGTCAGGGGCGCTCGATTCTTGCCGATCTGGGCTTGGGTGCCCCTATCTGCCCAGGAACGTGGAGGTTCATCGTCTAGGGTCTATAGCCGATCTGTCGGCAAGGTACTGCCGATGCTAGGCATGGTTCCCCCCCCTGGGCCAGTCCTCCCCCCTCGGCTCCCCTCACGTGGCGTGGGACGCGGAGGTCTCGTCGTTATGGGTTGAAGTTTCTTCTTGTGCATTTGTCGTGATCACGCATTGATTCGATTATCACAGGTCCCATCGGTGACCAGGGGCAGTGCAGTGCCATCGTTTCTGCACGCAAGTTTTCTCTCTGGATTTAGCAGACAACTGTTCGGGTTCAGGTGAGCCCGTTGTACCGACAGAGCACTTTCATTTTGTGGTCCAAGTGTGTTGCCCAATTCCGTTTTCTCCAGGGTCTTTGATCCAATCCAGGCTTCTGACGCCAGCCCAGTCTCACGCATGTGCGAGCGAAGTTTTTGACTCTTGACATCCCAGCCCCGTGCGATTGGACATGACCTCGTAGTTCGATATGAGTCTGTCGGGGATGACCACGCTCCTTTTTTTCTATCAACCACAGCAGGTTCTATGGTCGAGAAGTTTGTACATCTGATCCTCGCTTGTGTGGTTTCCTCGCGGATTCATCATTTCCTGTGCGCGCGCGCGCGTGTGTGTGTGTGTGTGTGTGTGTGTGTGAGTGTGTGTGTGTATAAGTGTGTGTAAGTGTGTAGGTGTGTGTGTGTGTGTTCGTGTTCGTCTTCGCTTTCCACTGCCCGCTCCCTGTCGGGCACTCTCCTCCTGGGGGGCCGGCTCGGGCCGCTCCCTCAGGGGCTGCCCGCTCGGCCGCCGCCGTACCTGCGCGCCGCCCAGCTCCGCCGGTGTTCGCGGCTCCCGCGGCCTGTGGCTTTTCGCGGCTCCGCTGTCTGCTGCTCGATCTACCAGTCTCTCCTTGGCGCTCTCCCTCGTCGGTCCACTCTTGCTGACTCGGCCTCCCCGCCTTCCAGTCCCGCCTGGCGGATGGCTTCTTTCACCTTCCATCCTCGTCGTAGTTTCGTCTACTCACCGCTCTCCCCGCCATCCATGCCTGGATGTTTGTGGCTGCCGCCGGCTGCGAGACCCTAAGCGGTCTCTGAGTGCTCGGCCGCGCGAAGACGCGAGCGCTTCACTGCCTGCATTCGACTTTCTCCGCCCCGTCGCCGTGCGCGGCGCCGCGACGCCCAAAAAGTTTGTGCGTGAATGTTGCGGGGCTTAGGCTGTGAGTGGATCCAGCCATGCCTGGATACCACACCCTCGATGAGGGATGCCGCGGCTGACTTGATTCGGTGCTGACAGACTCACTACTTTGCTCTCGATGTTTCACGCGCCCCAGGTTTTCCACGTGAAGGTTTCGTTTGCTGATGCGTGCGCTTCAGAGGGGATCCCATGATTAAGCATTATGTTTGTAATGCCCCATTCTGGCAGAGTTCACGGGCGAGGAACAACGCTTCTCCACCGTCTTCCCATGGGCGGATACTTGACTCGATCATTCAGACAGTTACAGCTTCGTCCAGAGTCCACTGAACGAGTGGAACAGGATATGCCTGGATACCTCAGTCGTTGAGACATAGAGCGTTGCCGTCTGGTGTTGTCAGTACATGCTTTATTTCCGAGGTTACGCTTGGCAGATTTGCCTGATACGATGACTTGTTTAGTGTTTTTGCGATTCGGCATGGTTCCCATGTTTGCCGAAGACGCCAACGACGAATCCCCGCCGCCCCGGTCTTTCCAGGAACGCCTACGTGGACGAACGTCGGGCCAGAGTCAAGCCAAGCAGCTCGACTATCTGTTCCCCTATCCGTTGGGGAAACCCTTCGGGGGACATTCGGGTAAGGAAGAGAGATGCGGAGGAGGAAGGAGGAGAAGGTGATGTGAGGATGATGATGATGATGATGATGATGATGATGATGCTGATGCTGATGATGATGATGCTGCTGCTGATGATGATGACGATGATGATGATGATGCTGATGCTGGTGATGATGAGGAGGAGGATGCGTCTTATAATGATGATGCGGCTGCGGATGATGATGATGATGATGATGATGATGATGATGATGATGATGATGATGATGATGATGATGATGGTGATGATGATGATGATGATGATGATGATCATGCTGATGCTGAAAATCACGGCGAGGACGATGATGATGAGGATTCTGAGGCTGCTGCTGCTGACGACGACTACGATGGTGATGATGATTAGGAGCAGGTGGACGATGCTTTTTATGATGATGATGATGCTGATGATGATGATGATGATGATGATGATGATGAGGCTGAGGATGACGATCATGAGGATGATGATGACGACGACTACGATAATGATGATGGTGATGCTGCTGCTGATGAAGATTATGATGATGATGATGCTGATGCTGATTCTGATGCTGATACTGATGCTTCTAATGAAGATGGTGCTTTCGATAGTGACGATGATGCCGTCGACGACACTGATGATAATGTGAGGATTCGAATGATGCTGCTGATGATTCGTCTGATTATGATGGCGATGCAGACGCTGATGACGATGCTGCTGCTGCTGATGATGATGATGAGGCTGAGGATGACGATCATGAGGATGATGATGACGACTACGATGATGATGATGGTGATGCTGCTGCTGCTGCTGATGAAGATTATGATGATGATGATGATGCTGATGCTGATGCTGATCCTGATGCTGATGCTGATGCTTCTAATGATGATGGTGCTTACGATACTGATGATGATGCCGTCGACGACACTGATGATAATGTGAGGATTCGAATGTCGCTGCTGATGATTCTGCTGATTATCATGGCGATGCAGACGCTGATGACGATGCTGCTGATGATGATGATGATGATGCCGACGACGAAGACGATGATGCTGCTGCTGATGATGATGATGGTGATGACGATGGTGATGTTGATGGTGATGACGATGGTGATGTTGATGGTGATGATGATGCTGCTGCTGATGATGCTGGCGATGCTGATGATGATGATGATGACGATGATACTGATGATGTTGCTGATGATGATGCTGACGCTGATGCTGATGATGATGATGCTTATGACGATGATGCTGGTGGTGGTGTTGGTGGTGGTGGTGGTGATGTTGATGCTGAGGATGATGATGATGATGATGATGATGATGATGATGATGCTGATGCTGATGCTGATGCTGATGATGCTGATGCAGCTGATGCTGATGCTGCGCTTTTGCTGATGCAAATGATAACTACGATGCTGATGCTGCTGAGAATGATGATGCTGAGGATGATGATGATGATGATGATGATGCTGCTGCTGATGATGATGATGATGACGAGACTGAAGATGATGTTGATGACGATGCTGATGCTGATGATGCTGATGCTGATGATGATTGTGGTGGTTGATGTCGTGGTCGTGGTGGTTGTGGTGATTTTGATGACGCTGATGACGATGATGATGATGCTGATGATGTTGCTGATGACGATGCTGGTGCTGATGCTGATGATGATACTGATGATGATGATACTGATGCTGTTGATGCTCATACTGATGCTGGTGATGACGATGATGATGCTGATGATGATGATGTTATGATGATGCAGATGCTGATGATTATGATGATGCTGGTGATGATGAGGATGATGATGATGATTATGGTGCTGCTGATGATGATGCTGCTGACCATGATGATGATGATGGTGATGATGATGATGATGATGAT